TATGCATGTTAATCTTAGTTGATTTAAGTTGTTTTTTAATTAATTAATTTTTTTAATTTCATCTGTCAACACTAGGTTTATTGAAAATCAAACTTCATAATTTGTTTTAATTTACTTTCTATCGGTTTATCTCAATCTCGTAACTTGGGTTACGAGTTTGACAAGTTAACCTGAGTTGACTAGGGTTATTTTTTTAATTAATTTTTTTCAATTCCATCCTTAAACATTAGATTTATTGAAAATTGAGCTTTGTAATTTATTTTTATTTTCTTTCTATAGAATTATCATGATCTCATGACTTGATGTGCTGATTAGCGGGTTGACTTGAATCGATCCAATATATTATCATGTTGATGAATATTAGAAAAATCTCATCGTAAATATTTATTTTGAGTCAAATTAAACTTTTAAATATCATATAGATTGTCTTTGAACCCACTAAGATGATCAAGTCATATTGAATTAATTCCTACATGATTTAAATTTTTTTTACTAATAAATTATTAGAAATTCTTAAATATTTTTTTTATTAAAAAATTAATCTAACCTGGAGTGCATCACATGTCAAATGACCTATTAATTATCTAAGTTGTGTTGAAAAATAAAACCTTCACCTTCGATCATAGTCACTAACTTGAACCTCAACATCTCTTGTATCATATTATATTATTATAGTGTAAACTAAAATTGTTTTTGCTTTTGCTGTAATAGTAGTAATGTGGATTGTAAGTGTAATTCATAAAAAAAAATCAACTTGTTCCTTAATTTTTTAAAACAAAATCAATTTGATTCTTAAAATTTTCAAATTCATCATTTTAAATATTCATTATGTATCATAATATTTTATTAAATCTTAAAAAAAAAATGTCCAAATCGACCAACAATTCTTTAAATATTACTCTAGGCCAAAAGTACATATTGTTTACTCGATATAACTCTAGTATCTTGATTATTAAAAAAAAAAATTAAGAGATTTACCAAGTATCATATTATAAAAAATCATGAAGATCTATTATAAGAAACTACAAAAATTTACATCAAGCATGCTGATATCTAAGACTAAGAGAAAATATTAGATTAATTTGAAAGTAGGTGTGATAAAATTAAAAACATGTAAAGGTAAACATGCAAAATAAAATAGTAATAATCATAAAGAAAATAATAAACTTAATAAAGTAATTTATATAAAAGATAAAGCATAAAATTGTAAATAACTCACAAAGTAAATCGCCAAAAAGCTTAATTACAAGATAAATTGTTGAAATGCTTGAAAGAAAATTATATTAAAATTTATATCGAAGTAGTTCAAAGAATTACAATGATGTTCATTTTTTTTATAATAATTCTTCGACCTAATTCTTATCCTATAAATTAGGAAATATAATAGACCTGGAATGATACAATAAGTCTGACCTTATTCAAAATCATTGATAACTACAATCCCAATCAAACCTATAATTCATGGCTAGAACCCCATTTTAAACCATATTAATGACTAACTTGATTCAAAGCTACGATTGATGATGGACTTCATTTTGTTTTTTATGCTAACCAACTAGTATATATAAATGATAGCCTCTTTCATTTATGATCCATTAAGTGAGTGTGGTGTAGTGTGTGATAAACACAAGAAAGAGTTTGAGATATTTATACCTATTAATTATCAAATATAGGGGTGGTGTAGAGTTCATTTATTGAGAAAAATATTTAGTGATAAAATTAGGTTTTCATTGTTAAGATCTTTTTTTCTAAAATTTAATCTTTCTTGTTCTTTGGTTCTATATTTGTATAGGTATCTCTATGTTAATTGGTATTAAAGTTACGCTAATTGGTACCAAAGTCCAATAATTCTTTATAGTTAGTTATTGTGTGCTATTAAATAACCATAGTTGATAGAGGTCACAAGATAATACATGTGGAGGGTGATGATGAGGTTCCATCTAAGAAATGAATTTTCAAAGAACTAGTGATTAAGGACTTATAGAGATAAGTTACAAAATTACTTCATTGATTAGCAATGAGAGACTTATAGAGACAAGCTATAGAATTATGCATTAATTGGTAGAGAAAAACCCAGAGGACAGTGACCATGCTGGTTTTGAGAGCCTATTTTAAATATATGAGTAGAGAAGGCAACCTTTCAATTAAGATCTACTAGACAAATTTCAAAAACAAAACAATAATGTTGAAATTGAAGTTCTTAATGACTCTAGTTTTTTTATGGATTAAAATCAACTATCATAATTTGATAAGGAAGAAGTTTAAAATGTTATTGATATTAAAGGTTGCAAAAATCCTAAAAAAATTATATGTTGGGATCTACAAGGATTCTCGCATAAAAATAAGAATTATTTTATATTCTAACCAAGTTCTTTGGAGTTAATTTTGATAATGTTGAAGTAATATAAATTTTAAGCCACCAAAAAAATCAATAAACCACTCTTTTGTACCTTATCAGTAATCAAGTTTTTAAATTTGATGCTTGATAAATTTTGAAGTGGTTTTATTGTGTTTTAAAAAAATATGTTGCTATAAAAAAAATATTAGTTGATGTTAAGGATAATAATGTTATGCTAGATTTTGAATTCAACGTTTGGTTAGGAGATTTTGATCAAGCATTTGTATTAAAGTATGAGAAGACATCCTATAAAAAACTAAAGGGAGTGCATGGTATGATGTTTTAAGAGACTTCTACACCAAATTTCTTTGTATCGATTGTTTAGTAAAGGAATTGCTTTGGTGAATGACGAGCAAGTGCTTGTCAATAAACCTAGCAACTAGTTTTACTAGGTAACAATAGTTATTATTGATGAATAGGAAAATAGTTGCTAACAAACCTCTAGTTGTTAGTAAATCTCTATACGTTACACTTGCTCCAAAAAAAAAGATAAAGTAGTAAGGTTATAGGCTCGATTTTCTTAAATACAACTAGACATAGACTCAACTTTAATTGAATATCCATAAAAATAAGGTAAGAGTAATTTGAACTCCTAGACAAATTCTCTTTTATCTACAAAGACTGTTATAGAAAGTCTTATCCCATTTAAAGCCATGATTGATGAATACCTATAATTGATGACTTAAACCCATCAATCAAACTCATAATTAATTACTAGAATCCTATTTAAAGTCATAATTAATGGCTAACCCCATTTTATTTTTTATGCTAACCAACTAGTATAGAATAAATAGACTTCTTTTCTTTTGTGATATATTAAATAAATGTATTTTAGTGTGTAATAAACACAAGTGAGAGATACAGATTAGTACCTATAAATTATCAAATATAGAGGTGGTGTAGATTTCCTTTATAAAGGAAAATATTAAATAATATTTTTATACCTAGTTGATTGAGGAACACGAGAACTAGGCTCAAATGAAAAACTAAGTTATTTAACATTCTTGGTCGCACTAAGAAATTATTATTTTATGTTTATTCCTATAATGAATAGTGAGTTGTGCTTTTAATGATTTTTATATCTTGGTATACAAAGTGAAGTATAATAAAATATTATTAATAAAAAATCACCTGTATAAATAAGAAATGAGACCACTTCTTTGAGAATTCCAATAAAAATTGCATTATCTAAAGCACTCATGAATTGAAGAGTTGTTTAAAATTAAAATGAACACAATAGTGAGAACTAAAGAAAATCTCTAAGTAAAGAACTATATGATTACTATTGTCTTAACTTACACAAAAATTAAATAGTTCAAGACATCGTGTTCACTATTTAGCGAATAAATCCGATAGTATTTCACTAAAAAAGATTCAAAACTAAAGGTTCAAAGCTAAAGTTACTTATCTTAATATAGTGATGTATCTCTCAATAAATTTTCAAGTTTAAAAACTGGTAAGATAATTTCTATTCATGTGGGGAATCATTGGAAATTTGTGAAAATGATATGTTTAAGAGGCATATTTGATACCAAATTAAAAGTGAGGTTCAATCACTTTTGGTGTTAAAACCTTGTTGGAGTTTAATATCCAACATATGCTTTTTAATATAGAATATTAATATAATTTAAATAAATTATGAATGAATGAAAAGTTAATTTGAAAAATCTTTCAGCCAGTATATCTTGGTGAAATTGAAAATGCTCTAAAACAATTTATTTTATATTGAAAAAAATAACACTTTTCTAGTGTTTATAAAGTAAGTGGTTGAAAAAAATAAAATTTAACTCAAAAGGAACCGAAACTTTTTAAGAGGAGAGAATCTATGCAAAGTGGGCTTTAAGCTTAAACCCATAAACACACGTCAGTATCAGCACAACTCAACCCGTGCTCTAGTTTCAAGCATGACCTGGGCTTGAGCTTGAGTTTATTGTAAAATAATATTTTAGATCATAAAAAAAATTGCCAATTAAAATTTAGACTTGGATCAACATATTGTTTATCCAATCAACCTATGAATATTAACACTTCTTCCTTGTAATTTTAGACCTTTTTTTAGTTAAAAAAATACAAATTTATGCTACTATATTCAAATTTAATTCTTAAATTATAATAATTAATCAAAAATTAATATTTTAAAATAAATTATAATTATTGTATAATTAATTTTTCAAATTTTATAACTATACCAGTAATAATAAGGAGATTTTAGGTAAAAAAAATTTCCAACTAAAATTTAGATTTGGATTAACTTATTGTTTATCCAATTTACCCATGAATATTAACATTTCTTTCTTCTAAATTTAGATATTTTTTAGCCAAAAAAATACAAATTTATGCTACTATATTCAAATTTAATTTTTAAATTATAATAATTAATAAAAAATTAATATTTAAAAATAAATTATAATTACTACTATAATTAATTTCTCAACTTTTATAACTATACTAGTAATAGCGAATTTTTAGGTTAATCATAATTACACACCCACTATCCTTCAAGTTTTCAAGGGAACAATATGATTATTTTTTAGAAAAAAAAAGAAGGTAAAATTGGATCCAGGCCCGGTATTCTTCTCAAGTCCGGATCCGTGATTCGGCCCATAATCTTTGTTGTTTAAAGAAGCTCCAAACCCTAATCTACTCTATTCATTCTTCTCCACTTTCTTTGCAGCCAGAGCTCTTCCGCTTCTCCGCCTACAATGGTAACCTTCTCCCCCCTCTAAGATTCTCTTTGCGGCAACATTTTTTATCTTGATTTTTGCCTCTGGGTTTTCTGTATCTTTCATTTCTGAGGTTGTTCAACTATAAAAAGATGGAGACTGAGGTTTTGTTTTTTTAGGTCGAAACTGTGATTTATAAAGTTTAGATTCATTAGCAATCAAAGAATTTAATGTTGTCTGCTTTGTTCGATATTTGGTTTTGTACTAGTGAGTTGTGTGCGGTTTTGTTTTTGTTAGAGATTTGGCTTTGTGCACTTGTTAGTTGCAGGCTAGCTGTGTTCTCTAGAGATTTGTGTGTACGAAAGTATTCCTCCTTAGTGAAAGTTTGGTTTCAAGGAGAGCGGAAACTTTTGGGAATGGAGGGCTTGTGGGGCTGGTGGTTTAAAGTATAATGAGATGCATGATTGAGATGAACGGGTGCATGGATAGAGAGAGAGTTGGAATGATTTAAAAATATGGGCTAATGAGGAAAAAAAAGTGGATTTGTGCTGATTGAAAATATAGTAAAGAGTGAATTTAACGTTTGATATGCTGCTTGTTTGATGGAAGCCTGTTCCAGTTGCATAATGTATTTGCACCTTGTATTTTAAACTGTGGTATTTGAGAATTTGTCTAAGAGGTTGCATCATATTGTTTTCCTTTCTTCTTGTTTTTTTATTGATTAATGATATTTTTATTAAAGGTGAACGTTCCTAAGACTAAGAAGACCTACTGCAAGAACAAGGAGTGCAAAAAGCACACCTTGCACAAGGTCACTCAGTACAAAAAGGGAAAGGATAGCCTTGCTGCTCAGGGGAAACGTCGTTATGATCGCAAGCAATCTGGTTATGGAGGTCAGACAAAACCAGTGTTTCACAAGAAGGTTTGTTTTCTTATTCTTTCCCTAATCTTGGCATACATGAAGCCCCTCTAGGACAGAGATCAGTTTTTTGAGTTTTTTCCCCCCATGTTGTAATTTGTAATTTGCTTGTATCCAGTGTTGGGGAAAATATTTTATCATGTTTGATTGTGAAATCTTGATAGTGTGTGTAAACACCACCAGAAAACATATTTTTGAAGTTACAGAATATTCTTTCTGGAGGCCTGTGATGATTTAAAATTTGCCTACATTGTCTGAACATCCAACTGATGACAGAGACATGAATTAGTTCTGAGGCCTTCCTCCTGTTTTTCCCTATCCTTGTTGGTTGATATTAAAATGAAAAATGTTTACGTTGTACTTATTATTCCACCCTATAGCTATCTTTTTATTGTATCTGAATTCTCTTTAGAGGCATATGATGATTTGAATTTGCCTACGTTGTCTGATTGTCTAGCCAATGACTGAAACATAGACTAGCTCTGAGGCCTTCTCTTCCCTCCCTTTTTCCTTCCATCATACACGCATAGCTGAGTTATTATATTGATTTCTTTTATCTGAACAGGCAAAGACAACAAAGAAAATTGTGTTGAGGCTGCAATGCCAGGCATGCAAACACGTGTCTCAGCACCCAATCAAGGTTGGTCATGCAAGTGATTTTTTATTGTGGTTTCTTACCTTTTGACTTCAACTGCGCTAATGTTTGTTACTGCCAATGGTTTCCACAGAGGTGCAAGCACTTTGAGATTGGTGGAGACAAGAAGGGAAAGGGAACATCTCTGTTCTAAGTGCATCATTTTGTTCTTAGGTGTCTACTACTTCTAGAACAAGGCATTATGGGATAGTTTTGTTTTATTTGGTTTATTTAAGACATTGTATCTGTGAAGAAGTTTGAGGTCATTGTGGAATATTGATTATGATGTTAATCAATTTTGAGCTTATAGTTAGCCGTTGTTGCTTTCTTGAGTGCATTCATAAGAAGGGAAAACGCAGTTGCTGGCTTGAGAAGGGGTGAGCCTCGGCAGTTCCTGAGGAACTAATGATCTTGATAAGGGAGAGAGGAGGCGACTGTCGCTCCCTCACGCCTATTATCAGTAGAACTACCATTCTCTTAGCTGACTGACTGACTAGCTAAAGCTGCCAGGCTCAAGCAATGCCCTTAGGGTTTACACTCCCCTGATGTTTTGTATTTATTGCTTGAGATGAATTCAACTTTAGTGCAGCTACGGTCAGTCAAGAAACTATGTTGCAGGTCTGCACCACTGAAAGGCTATCAGCAGTGGGCTTCTCGTCGTGATTTCATGGGAATGAAAAGCCTTGGTCCCTATCCCTTCTGATAAGGTGCTAGGCTTCCCTATCCTCCCTAACTTTGCGTTCAAAGCTCTCGTTTTAATTTACAAACCAGAATGAATAACCAGCTCCTTAGAAATATTCCCATTTTTCTCCTCGTTTCACCATTTTAAAGTTTATACAAAATATGCTTCACTGATATATGAATTCCTAGCGTAAACTCGATAGAGGATTGGTGCTGTCCTGTAACCCACCTCCCAGGGACTGAATCTAAGCATTCAGTAGAAGCTGAAACAAAAGCCTTCTTCCTTAACCCAGGGAATTGGGAAGAAAACAGTGTTCAAGAAACTGATTGGCATGAATCTGGACCCCTAGGTCGTTAAAGAGGAAGCTAAAGCTAACACCACCAAAATCATATGGCAGTAAATTTTTGCCGCTGAATCACGCCGTCTCCAGGGTTGAACTTGTGGTAGACATTCGGGATGCAGATTATCTATTCAGTCGAAAAATAAAAATTAGAAACAAATCCACCATGAACATGCCGATCATGAAGACTTGTAAGAAGTGGAGTTAGTATGAAATTCCTCATGGTTATATTCTCATGATTGGAGGATATGTGGATTTTTCAAAATATATATGCACAATAAAGATAATAAATTAAAAAATTTTCGGGAGAATATTTTTTTAATAAATTTAGAGTTATACGGAAATTACTTGGAAATTTTTTATTTTTTACTTTGAATAATTATTTTAATATTGAGTTGTTGCAAACTATAATTCAAATGTTTTGTATAAAAAATAAAAGATATAACATCTTATATATAGAGAAACTTGAAAATCTATAAATAATAAAATATCAATTTACCTCTTACCAACATCTCATAAATTATTTTAAAAAGCATTGTTCAATCAAGTCCATACTCTATTTTTCTATATTTAGAATTGTAATTTCATGTATAAATTATATTCTAATCCATAATTTATATAAAAAAATTATAATCAAGTCACATTTGAATAATCATTCCAGTTGAATTTCTAATCAATGATTTTTATATATCTGACTTATTAGATTCTCTAATGAGTCAACCCAAATATAAATCACAATTCTAAATAAAATAAAATAAAATTAATTTATATTTTTTTAATTCAATAGTTAATTTATTTATTTTAAAAGATTAAGTACAATGTAATATTATGATTCCTAAATATTAAAAAAGTTATAACTGGTTTGACTTAGCTTTTTAATAACTAATTTTTTAGTATAATTATTATTTCTTCATCAACAATGTTTTGATTTAGACATTATAATATATAGCATGTCTATGTCAAATTATGTTTATTCTCAAGATTACAATTATTAACTCTTTGAATAAGATTTCAAACTCTTTTCAAATCTTATTCTATCATATGCAAGGATATAAAATCACTATTACCTAAAAACATTTGAAACGTTGTATCTAATTCACATAGGAGGTGAATTCTCTTTTAATTACTTAAATATTTTTATATAGTTCCTGATACATCAAATATCTTCCTATTTGTTACTCTTATTGGAACAATGTGTAGCAAGATAAAAGTATAAGATTCTTTATTTAAAATAACGTAGTGATTTCAAGTCTAACGATCATCTATGTAACTGTTACATGAATCTTTTCATGGATATATATGATTTCTTCAAATGAAATTTTCATATGAATTTTAGATTCATTAATCAAATATTACATTAATTAATTAAATGTTTGATGAATATTAAATATAATTAAATTTTTATTAAAGATTAAATATATTTACATGAATAAATTCAATACCACATATAACCAATCAATTAGCTAACTGATAAGAGATTCTAACATAGAGAGATAAAAACACAAACTATTTTTACCAATATCATAAATTGAACCAACAATAAATATTAAATTGGGATTATTGTTTATGCATCATTTTTAAGTAGGGTCAACCAACGAAAATGGCTGAAAGCCCTTACTTATGACATGTCTGGGAGTGTGCTAAATATTTTTTTCAAAGCACCTTTCACTTGAAAAAACATCAAAATAATATTTATTTTTTTAAAAATTATTTTTGATATCAACATATCAAAATAATAAAAAAAACAACAAAAATAATTTGAAGCTAAATTTTTTTTATTTTTTTTAAATATAGTTGAATCACAATAATGAATAAAATCTTAATACTACTGAGATATTTATACTCATAAACATACACATATATATTATTAACTTATAATATTTCTTAATGCATAGCTTCTTCTTTCATCCACAATACTTATTTATCAAATATATTTTGAATTGAAAAATCATTAAGCAATACTTTGGGTTTAATTATCGCATCTATCCCTTAATGAGCCAAACCTCTTTCATCCTTACCAAACCCAATTCAACCCAACATCATATTTTTTAAAGTCAGACATTCTTTTCCTTTCAGATTCCAAACTTCACCCTATCTTTTTATGCCAAGAAAGGACCTGCACAACTAAATTTATCCCATTCAAAACCCCAATAAAAAATCCTATTTTAATTCTTAATTTGAATTGAAAATAAATTTTTATTTTTATGTGAAAATTAAATCATCCATGAATTTCTATATAGAAAAATTATTTTATTTTCCATAATTTTGCTTGCTTGATCATTTTTTTTACCATTTCATCTACTTATTCAAAATTATATAATTTCATCGAGTTCCTTTCGCTTTCCATAATTATTAACCATTTTTATACTTGAGATTAATTAAAATGATAAATAAATTTTTTTTTCATGTTATTATTCTAGATTCAAATGCTTGAAATAGCTATGAGGAAATAATTTTAATACGCTAATTTATACATATAAATAATATATTTAAAACTCTATTAAAACAAGAATTAGTCTTGAATTTAAATTTGATTCAAGTAGTTCTACACTGTTTTCTTTAAGTAAAATTTTGAGTTCTAGTCTTATAGATAATGAACACCATTATTGAAAAAATTTTACTTTTTAATAATAATACTCAACTAAACTAAATTAATCGAGGTCTAGAAAACAAGAATTAATCTTGAATTTGAATTTGATTCAAGTAATTCAATAATTATTCTTTTTAAATAAAATTTTGAGTTCCAGTCTCGTGGATAAAGCACAACATTACTAATACTAATAGAACTTTACTCTTTAATAAACTAAGTGAGCTCAACTGAATAAGTAGATCTTCCCCCCAATCATGTACAATCCACTTTTCATCACTCTAAAACGTTAGATTTTTTTCCCATACATAAGGAAAAGTAGGATTCAATGTGAATATATATATATATATATAAAGCACAGACAATTTTATAGTGTAAATAAATAAATAAAGAATTGAAAAACAGGGAATACCATAAATATATAGTTAAAAACTTTTAAAATAAGCTTATAAATTAATTATACAATCTCCAGAAATCCACCAATCCCAGAACCCAATCTCCTAAACCCAAACAAAATCCCCAGTTTCTCTCAAACCCTCACTTCCCCCTCTCGCTTGCTCCAATTCCAAACCGAAATCAACAGCAATGAAAACCCTCTTCTCTACCACCAAGCTCATTACTTCCACAACTAAACCAAAACCCTCTTTTCTCTTGACCCCCCAAACCTCTACCACTAGAGCTTATAGTCTAATCCCAATGGTTATTGAACACTCTTCAAGAGGAGAAAGAGCTTATGATATCTTTTCTAGGCTTTTAAAAGAGAGAATTGTCTGTATTAATGGCCCAATTAATGATGATACTTCTAATGTTGTTGTTGCTCAGCTTTTGTTTCTTGAGTCTGAGAATCCTTCTAAGCCTATTCATATGTATCTGAATTCTCCTGGTGGACATGTTACCGCAGGTGATTTGATACTCAAAAGTGCTGAGGTTTTGATTTTTTTTAGATGGGTTTTGGCTTAATTTGTGTTTGGGGCGTGTTATCGTCTGTTTGGTTTTGTGGGCTGGTGCAATTTCAGTGTTCTGTTACAGTTTTCTTGGAATTGTTGCGAATTGATTTAAAATGTGATCTGATTTGATTCTTGTTCAGGTTGTTTATTACTGCAATGGGTTTTTGAGCCCGTTAGTGTTGTAGATTCATTTTGAATTATATTGAGATGCGTTTTAGCATGGATTATTTAGGATTTTGATTCTGTTACAAAGGTCTGATCTTTGTTAGTATCTTGGATTTTAATTTGGAAAGTTTTAGGTGTATATGCCTGATTTTGTTAATAATTAAGGAGTTTGATTAGTGCTTGGTTCTATCGAGTGTAATTTGAGCTTTTAGGTTCTTCACGGAGCGGTCAATAGCATTAGTGAATTGGCAATTTGTCTTTTGGGTTCAATTTAGTGGGTCTAACTAAGTGAATCAAATGATTCCTGATTTCTTGGTTGAAGGGGTGGTGCTATAAACAGCAGCAGTTGTTATAACTGGGCAGGATATTAGGTGATTTCTTTTTGGTACACTTTCTTTCTGCTTGCTTACAGTGCCTATAAAGAAAAGAATCATGGTAGTCATGGGCTTTTTTTCTGTCTAATTGCTAGTGTTCTTGTATACCATTGGAAGTTGCATTACACAGTGGAAAAAGGTTCTTGATGTGCCATTTGACATGCTTAACTGAATGATCCAACTGAAATGCTTAGCATATTATGCGATGAGATATGCTGCTAAGAGTTGCTTGAGGTCATACAATGCCTTTCCTACTAAAGCCAATTAGTTTGAATTATCATTGCACTTCTCTGTCTTTAGTTGCTTATAATTATGGTTGCGTGGAAGGTATTGAGTTAATTTGTATTTTGTCAATTGTATTATGAATGCGTGATTATATTGAGGTCATTTGAAGAGCAGTTTACTGTTGGGGCTTTTTGACTGTTCGTGTGATTCTGAAGTAGATGAATTTTATCAGAGGTTTTGTTTCCATTTCCCTTTAGATACTTCCCAAGTGAGAAAGAACTGTTGAATTATCTCACATAATGCACAACTAATGATTTTGATGCAATAGCATGTGAATACTTGTCAGTATAAAACATGTGGCAGATGCTGAGGACTATTTTCCCTTTTCCTCAAGTTTTCTAGTCTGTTGGTGCTTTTGGACTTCAAATTTAAAAGTACTCTTGGCCATGGTGTATATCAACTAACAGAACTTATTATTTAACTTGCAACTGGTTCACAATTCTATCAAGATGTGGCGATTTTGAATTACTGATTACCATCCAATCTATAGAATGGAATTTAACTGCTTTCGCATAGCAGGTCTTGCATTGTTAAATGTAGCATTGGAATACTTGTAATGGAATAGAGTGCTGGGATAGCTAAATTTATTGTCGATTCGATTTAGGCTGAATTATTTATCTTGTTTAAATATATGAAGTTTTTCAAAGTAAGTAATCTTCTGAGGCATGGCTTAGGTTATAATGTCAATCGTTGTGCTGTTCTTTGCAGGTCTTGCTATTTACGATACAATGCAGTACATAAGGTCGCCAGTTAATACCATTTGTTTGGGTCAAGCTGCATCTATGGCTTCCCTCCTCTTGGCTGCTGGGGCTAAGGGTGAGAGGAAGGCACTTCCAAATGCAACAATTATGATTCATCAGCCATCAGGTGGGTATAGTGGACAGGCAAAGGATTTGACAATTCACACCAAGCAGATAGTTCGGGTCTGGGATGCACTGAATCAATTGTACTGCAAGCATACAGGAAAGCCAATGGATGTAATTCAGAAGAATATGGATAGAGATTATTTTATGACCCCAGAAGAGGCAAAGGAATTTGGAATTATTGATGAGGTGATTGATCAAAGACCAATGACTCTGGTGACTGATGCTGTTGGTGATGAAAGTAAACAAAAGGGTTCGAGCTAGGACTAGAGGGTAAGATCTCAGAAGAGGCATTGCCATTTTATTTTTGTGGTGAACTTTTCCTTATTTATCTGATGATTTTGTTGGTTATAAAATATGCTATTTCCTTTGCTTATCATGATTTCAGTTTTGATTGTGTTTGGATTCGGTTTTGCAAAACAAGTTAATCAAACAGCCGCGTTAGCTTTTAGGCACATAAATCTTGAAGAATTCAATTTTCTCTAGTGTTTGATGTGCATAAGATGATCTGAAATAATCTTGTGCTTGACTTGTCATAGAAGCTATTGATTCTTGTTGCATATCTTTCTACACAGTTGCTGCCACGCCTGTACTTCTTGGTTTTGTTATGGTGCATTGGATATATGCACGCAGAGGTTACGATTTTGAAATATGATCAAAAGATGCTGCAGAAGTTCACATGGTTCTCTTGTGATTTCAGAGCATTAGATTAGTAGGGAATCAGGAATGTGGGTCTAGGATGAAGAACTAGGTCATAGTAGTAATGAGACTATTTGTTTTTGCGATTAAAATTGCATTGGGTGCGTTTGGTTTAAAAAGTATTAAATCAATGTTTTTTGTTAGTGCTTTCCAATAGTTTTAATATGTTGATGTCAAAAATGAAAAAAAAAATCTGAAAAAATTATTTTGATTTATTTTTAAGTGAGAAACACTTCTGAAAATCACCATATACTCTAAACACACACTAATTAGCAGCTTTTATGACACTCTGTAACATGATCCTAACTACTGCATGAAATTAAAGAAATGCAGACGTTAGCTGAGTTTGGATGATGGGTTAGTAGATTTTGGATTGAAGGTTTTTGATGACCTACTTGAAACTTGATCAAACAAGAACATTCTTTATTTCTCTGCACTTCATATGATGCATTGGAAAATTGGTTTCAAATGGAGACCTGAGGGCAGTGTAAACTCTGCTTTTGACTAGTAGAACTGACAGAAAACCAATCAAATTGCTAGTAACCTGATGCATGTATCCCTCAACAAAATTTTAAAGCGAAAAGGGTTGTAAGATTTGGTTTAAATATGTTGATTCCCTGTGTGTTATAATTTTTAGTGCAAATTTTAATTTTAATTTAAATAGAAGGTTGGATAGTTTTTTTTGGTGTGTTTTTTTTATAAATAAATGTACCTGGTCGATGGAGGATATCGACTTCATTTCTTTGTGAAAGCCTTGAAGGATATCCATTACTGGAAACAGAAAAATCTTGAAAAAGAAAATAAGACTGTATTTTGATTTAGTTTCTAGGATGACACATTTATTTTTTTGGTTTTACGAAAGGGATTTGTAATTTGTAAAACGACATGCAATCCAAAGAATCATATTTTGTCCATAGACTCCATACAAATGCTCTGCAATGACATAGACATGACAGATGATAAAGCCATAAAGGAGTTCCTTGTTGAAAAAAATAAAAAATAAAAAATAAAATAAGCAGGAATAGTAGTAGTAAAATGGACAAAACTATTCACTCGATCCTCACAATTTCCAAATTATATATATATATATATATTTCCTATATTTTAATTAGTTCAGAACCTAACACCTTAATTAATTTCACATTTTTTTCTAAATAGAATGAATAAAAAAATTAGAGTAAATAAAAGAATTGTTAGGTCATTTTAGCATTTTGTTCTCTCAACTGTTTAGATTATGTTTGAAATTTTCCATCCAAAATGCAATTGAAATGAAATTGATGGTATTTATGTAGTTTTAGACATAATATATGTTTTGGATCAAATTTTGGATTGTCAAGTTATTTTATTTTATTTTTTTAATGAAGAATTAAAATATTGTTTTAACTTTTATATATATTGGGTTTAGATCGGATTATTAGGTTAACTATCTTTTTTTGTTTTTAAATTTGATTACATGTCTATTTTTATTAGATTGTGTTTTTATTTGATTTGATCGGATGAATTAATTAATTAATTAATTTAATTTTAAATTCAAAATAAATTATTTCATGGCTCAAATATATAGATCAACAACAACTATAATTATTTTCAAATGTTTATTTTAAATGGTTATAATACAAACATTTACATTTTAAAATTATTAAAAAATGTTTCGAAAATCAAATGCAAAACGTATTTTTGTAAAAGCATATAGGCGATGTTGAAATGAAGTCGATTTATCTACACTTGGATCCTACTAAACTAGGAGTAGAAAAATAGGAAAAAATGAATTATTTTTGGAATAAAAAACAGTAAATTAATCGAGGAAGGTTAAGAGTCCCTAAAGAGAGCATTTGGTTATCTCGGAGACCTGTTGATTGCTGTTAAGAAAAATATAAGGAATAAGTTATAATTAAACTTAATTACAAAAACCCAAATTCCTTTGCCCAACCCAGCAAAGGCCCAAAATATCTCTCTCTTTCTCTCTCGACACTGCTTCAATTTCTCTCTCCAAAACCTCCACAATTTCTCTCTCTCCTAAAAAATCCCAAATGCACAACCCTAGCACTCCTCACTCTCCTCCTTCGATACCTTAGCACCCCTGTCGCCGGAAACCTAACCGGCACTTACCGCCGGCACATATCCGGCGAGAATTATTCGTTTGACGTCCTTCTCTATTCGATTCGATTCGAATTCTCCATTTCAATTGGCTCCCCTGTTCTTCCTTTTCAAATTTCAGGTTGTTTCCGTGATCAATTACCACCACCACCTCCACAAAGAAGAAGTAGAGCGACACAAGTAACCGCCTATGGCTCCGGGGCGTAAAAAGGGAGCGAATAATAAGAAAGTTCAGTTGCGTTTGGGTGATCTTGTGCTTGCTAAAGTCAAGGGGTACCCTTCTTGGCCTGCGAAGGTTATTTCCCCCTAATTTTAAATTCAATTTTTATGTCTTAAAAACTTTTTTGTAGTTTGATTTCTAATTCTACCACCTGCAATTACAGACCTTATTGTTTATCTTAAGAATTTGGTTAATTTTTTCTTCCAATTTTGATTTTTTTGGGGTTGGTTTTAGGGGTTTTAGTGATGGGCTCTGAAGATTAGTGGGTTCAGCTCATTTGTTATGTGAATCAATGTGGTTTTCGTGGTGGGTTTTATTTGTATTCTAGCCATTTTAAGTTGTAAATTATTACAATTTAAATATGGGTTTAAATTGTGTAGTTGGTTTTATTTTTTGTTTCTTTACTGATTTTAGTTTAACTTGATTTGGTGTCTGTTGAGCGCTTTAGTTTCTCTGCTTGTATTAGTGTTCTAGTACTTTACAACGTATATCATTCCCTGGTATTTTGATTAATTTGGAGGGCATGAATGCTGGGTTTAATTGATTCATGGATTGGTATAATTTGCGTGCATTTGATTAGATGATGATTGTGTAATGATTGTTTCTGTAATTTTTGTGGTTTTTGGTAACAGAAAGATGTTGGTATTATCTGGGTGAAGACGTCTTCCTCCAACGATTGTAATTTATTTTGTTGAGCCTTTGAGAGTTTGTCATTTTGGTTAGTGCTTGAGCTAGATTTCATGGGTGTTTGTATTTCAGATTAGTCGGCCTGAAGATTGGAAACGAGCCCCTGATGCTAAGAAAGTTTTTGTCTATTTCTTTGGAACTCAAGAAATGTAAGTTTTTCTTTATGAATTCCTTATTAACAAATTTTACATGTTTGTTCATACATGGAGAAGGGTTGAGAATGTGGTTATCCTAGTGAGTAGACTGTGCAATAGTTGGGGCTTTTATGTTTCATATCTGTATTATTTTGAGATAAGTAGATTACAACTTGTGCTCTATTTCTCAGAAATATGGAGTTGACAGTTATCTTCCTCTTCAACCATTTTGATGTGGTTTGTAAATGATAGTTGAGGTCTTTGAAAATGAGATTTTGGGACTGAATGTTGTTGCTACGAGTACACAACCTGGGAAATTTTAAGTACAATTAAGAAATTCTTAGTCGAGTGCTATTTTGGAGTTTGATTGAGCATACAGACCATGTTAGCTTGTCTTTATCCTGTCATTCTAATTTAGTAAAAATTAGCTATCGAGAAATGAAGGAAAGGAGTTGAACATTTACTAGGTTTTAGGATGGGATAACAAAAAAAATTTGCTAGTTTATTTGCTGCTGCACTTGACTTGATTGAGCATTTGAGAATTGATTGTGTTCATGGATTAAGTTGGTTGCCCCTTTTAGAGCTTATTTCTTCCCTTTGCTTGCTTGTTCTCTTGCAGTGCTTTTGTTGCCCCTTCTGATATTCAGATATTCACAAATGAAGTAAAGAATAAACTGTCGGCTCGGTGCCAGAGTAAGAAAGATAAGTTCTTTTCCCAAGCCGTGAAGGAAATCTGTGCAGCTTTTGAAGAGTTGCAGAAGGGAAAGTCAAGTGGATTGGGAGATACTACTGATAGATCAGCACCAGGATCTGAGGCTCCATCTGTTGACTCAATGGAAGAGGATGAGGCAGAGGAGGACTTACATGAGGACATGGGTAAAGTTGGACAAAGTGGAGAAGTGTGGAATTTAAGACGTGAATATAGTTCTAAGTTAGAGCGTTGCTCCAGTAGACGAGATGAAGCATGCTCTGAAGATATGAAGCCTTCCGTATCAGGTGACGCAGATGACAGTTCATCCCCAGGTATATCTTCTGAAAAGAAGGTTAAAATTTTTGATAGTGCACAACCACAGGAAGTATTATCTGCTTCCAGTTCGGATAATGTTTGCTGTGTAAAAGTTGAAGCCTCATGTAATGGAAATCTGGATCTTAATTGCATTAAGAACCTGGGTACTGGTGAGGGGGCGTGGACAAATCCCCATGAGTCAAAGACAGTGTTTTCTGGGGCTGAGAGAAAATTGGAATGTAACTCCTGGGAACAAGTTACAGGTGGAGAAAAAGGCAAGCTTGCTAGTGGCAGTATGAAGGATTCCCCCCCAGGCCCTCCTAAATCAGAATTAGAAGCCAACGGTGGTAGAAAAGTAAAAGAACTATCAAAAGCCAAGAAGGGTACTATGGTGTCTGATGAAAAATATGAAAATAAGGTTTTTCAAAAGAAAAGGCGTGCCCACCCTGATTGTGGAAAATCTGAGCTTGAAGCAACTGAAAATGCAAATCCTGCTAAGAAATCAAAGCGTGTAGATGTGGCAGATGATATTACAAAGGGACCTTTTTCAGAAAACATGAGTGTTTCACCAAGCTCAAATGTTGTTGATGACCAAGCAGCCAAACGGTCCATGGCACATGGAAAAAGGGAGATCCTTCTGGGATTAAGAGCCCGAAGCGACAAAGCTAAAACAGATGCTTTTGCCCAAACTAGTAAAGTTAAATCTAATCTTTCTTCTCACTCAGGTAAGGTCAAATCTGGTACATCTGCCAAGATGAGTAAAGTTGATAATGATGCATCTGCCCAAACAGTTAAAGTCAAAAGTGATGCTTCTGCACAATGGGGTAACACTAATACTGATGTATCTGTTCAAATGAGTAAAGTCAAACTTGATTCGACTGCGGAAATTGGCAAAGCTAAACCTGATGTTCCTGATCCAACAAGTAAAGCTAAATCTGATGTTTCAAATGATGAAGCTGTGCTGCCTGTATTAAAACGTCGTAGACGGGCAATGGAGGCGATGTGTGACGCTGCTGCCCTCAATTCTAATGACAGAATGGAGAAAAATGCTCTCGAGCTAAAGAGTGATATGGTTTCTATTAATGCGAGAGTTTCCATTACCCAACAGCCCAAAAGGCGAAGAGCTGTTTGCCTTTATGACAATGATGATGAAGATGAGGAACCCAAAACTCCTGTTCATGGAGGGGCTGCCAAAAATGGCAGAGAACCTGTATCTGTTTCTGATGCTTCCAAGAGAACTAATGCACGAATTGAAAGTTCTGTTAATCAACAACAACGAAACTCTATTAATGCTCAGACAAGTATCAAGGATTCTACTGGTTTAGAGAATATCCATTCCAAGGAATCATCTTCTCTGTTACAGAACAATCCTTGTTCGCCCAGCTATCCAAAAACTGTGAAGAGGAATGATACACATATCTCTCCAAGTCCTGGCAAATCAGAGCCTGAGCAGTTACTGTCAAAGGAGGCAAAACCAATCACAACTACCCCTAAGAGGTCTCCTCATTTGCTTTCTGCCACCAAATTAATTGTGGAACAGCATAAAGCTATCAACCCTGTGGTTAAAGTTTCCACTCCTGGCACTCAAAAAAAGGCCCAGGCTGGACCTGGCAAGGTTTCAGGTCCTGTTTTGGATGGTTCTAACGCTTCTCAAAATCATGCGCCAAGTCAAAAAAGTAGAGCAGCTTTTTCTGGGGAAAGGCCAAAAAGTACTCCTAAAGCAACTTCACAAATGAGTAACCTGACTGTTCCAATGGGTGCTTCATCAGAGTATGATTCGTTTCCTGTGTGAAATTTATCTGTTTTTTCTATAAACGTTTTTAATTCAGCTTTATAGAAATCACATTTTCTTTCCTAATTACAGACTGGAAGTTGGTATGGATGACAGACCCAGCTTTTTGGTAGATTCTAAGACTCCAGATTCTGTTACATCTATGAAACATCTCATTGCTGCTGCTCAAGAAAAAAGGAGACAGGCTCACTTGCAATCCTTTCCTCTTGGAAACCCTGCCTTTATAGCTCTCAACAACGCTCAGGGAAGGAGCCCCAGCTCCTCGCCAAGCCAACTTCTTTTGTCTGGTACTAGCAATGCTGCACAGGCAGATATGCAGGGCTTTTATCATCGCACAGATTTAGTTTCTCCATCTACACATGGTCACCAATCAGCATCACATGACCAAGTGGATGGTGAAGAAATCGAGGAGCGGAGAGTTAGTTCTGGACACAGGGCTGCTGGAGGTTCACTGAGTGGTGGTACTGAGGCTGCTGTGGCCCGTGATGCTTTTGAAGGGATGATAGAGACTTTATCAAGGACGAAAGAAAGTATTGGACGTGCAAACTGCCTTGCCATTGATTGTGCCAAGTATGGCATTGCAAATGAGGTGGGCTTGCTATCCTTTTATTGTGTTATTTTCTGAATTGGCTCTTAGAAAAGGAAGAGCTGTGATGAGTTGCATGTCTCTTGTTCTTAGTTATCTTTTCCTTGAAATTCTTTTGTTCTTTGTTATCCTTTCCTTGAAATGTTAGTTCCATTGTGTTTACTTATAGTTTTATTCTACCTGATTGTTACATTTCAAACCTGCCTATGTTGTGTTTTCCTTGCTGAGGATTGTGTGGCTTGAAAAAATAATGGAAGAGGGCTGCTTCATTTTAAATTTTCTTTGAGCAAAAAGACTGTAGATAAGTTCACTTCCCATTGTATATGGGATCCTTATGGTTGGGATACATTCATCCATTATGGTATTCTTTAAGTTGCGATCAGGGTTCTTGGATTCCCTTTCTATACATTGAGTGCAAACACACACTTTATTCATTTTTCATAGTGTTGCATGATGGATCTTCCATTTACTCATTTTCTGAACCTCATCTTTTTTTTCTTTGTTCTTTTTTCTATGATGATTTTCCTAGGCTCATGATATTATCATTTTCTTGCCGAAGTATAATTGAATCAGTTATGGAAATGGTTCTGTGATTTGGTGCTGAACATGTTAATATGGTCTTGCAGGTTGTGGAGCTTTTAATCCGAAAATTGGAAAGTGAGCCCAGTTTCCACCGCAAAGTGGACATATTTTTTCTTGTGGACTCCATCACCCAGTGTTCACATAATCAAAAAGGTTGCTTCCTCCTGCTCAACTTGGATTCTATCAATCTTGCTCTTTTAACTCATATATATATATTAGAGGAGCGAAGAATGTGTTCATTCCATATCCACAATCATCAATAATGATGGTTGCCATAGTTATGTTTCTGATTTTGTTTTCCTTTATTCAGGTATTGCTGGAGCTTCATATGTCCCTGCAGTGCAAGCAGCATTACCACGCCTTCTTGGCGCTGCTGCTCCAGCAGGAGCTAGTGCTCGGGAAAATCGTCGTCAATGTTTAAAGGTTATTTTCTTTTTATGTTACCATAGAGAGCCTCTTCTTTTTCATCAGAATAAATCTTGATCTATTGCTGTTTCCAGGTCTTAAGATTGTGGCTTGAGAGAAAAATCTTGCCTGAATCTGTTTTGAGGCGCTATATGGATGATATTGGAGGTTCAAATGATGATACCTCTTCTGGATTTTCCCTCAGACGTCCATCCCGAGCTGAACGAGCTATAGATGATCCAATCAGGGAAATGGAAGGCATGCTTGTTGATGAATATGGAAGGTGTGTTTTCTTAGTTATTCGTGCTGTTCTTTTTCAATAATATTTTGGTGGCATATTTCTTGTCTCTTGAAGAACATTGGCATGGTCCTACAGACTGTTATGGAAATTTGATGCGTATATGGTCCATGACATGTTTATGTTAAAGAATTAGGATTTGAATAGAGTTGGAACATACTATCTGAATCAACCTTTTTGTTGGAAAATGTAACATGCCCAAATGCATGTGAATGTTAGCACAGTTCTTGCCTAGGGAATTGAACTGCATTCCAGATAGTTGATCTGCAGTGTGCCATCACTTAATGATTAAAAAAAAAAAAAACAAATGAGCCATAACACTTTTTTGTATTTCTGCTTTACTTTCTTTCTAAAAGAAAGTGCTGTATTTATAGAATGGCCGTTAAGCATTTGCACAAAAGGTGGGGTATGAAATACCATAATGAGTACTATTGGAGATTGGAAGGATGTGTTTCCCCTTGTGCTGAAGGCATTATTAGGTAGTCTTCCCTTAGAGGTGATACGGGTTATTGGAATATTCGTCATCTATCCTTATGTTTCAAGGGTTATGCTTTGCTTTCATGCTTTAGAGCCATTTACAATCACCAGTTGTGGATTTGATACGTCCACGTCTGCTTGTCCCTATTAATATCATTTATGAAAATTGTAAATTTAACCATAAATCGGCATTATTTCGTGTAGCTTCACAAAAGGAGAAGATCAAGTTTGATTGCCAGAAGGTATAAATGAACCACATGCATGAAATTGACTGAACTTGTAACTTTTCAGTAAAAAATTAAAGTTGATACTCTTCGAAGAACTTAAATAGTCCTGGAGAATGAGGTAATGTAGCAAATGCTAGGGTGGTGGATGTCATTGTTAGAACCTACTGCGTGGAAGTGCAGAAGACAATAATACTATAGGTAGTTTTGTATGATTTTGAATGTGCACCTCTTGTTTTTAGTTTTGCTAGCTAACTCAATTATTATGTTATGCAACCATTTGTTATTATCATTGCAAAATTTGTTTAAAGCCTCGTGTTTCTATATGGCTTGCCATATCACATGCATTTCTTTTGTCAATAGAATTTTTTTTAGATGAAATATGAAGTTGATCAATGCAGTAATTTCTTTAAAATTTTACTGTTGTATTGACTTTAAGATCCATATTGGTTTTCTTGGCTTTGGCACCAGTAATGCTACATTTCAGTTGCCTGGCCTTTTATCTTCTCATGTGTTCGAGGATGATGATGAGGACTTCCCTAGTAGCCCATTTAAGGAAGGTGATGGTGCGTTGGGCATGACAGGATCAAACCATGCTTTAGGAGATTTAGAAATATGTACTGCTACTCCAAGTGACAGGCGGCATTGCATCTTAGAGGATGTGGATGTGGAACTTGAAATGGAAGATGTGTCTGGACACCAAAAGGATGAAAGACCTTCATCCACAGGTGGATCTTTTGAAATGGAACCACAGCAGCATTGCTCAGATGGGCCAGAACCTGCATTAAATGATTCTGCTGAGTTGCTGCCTCAACCAGATGATTCTCCACCACCGCCTCCTGATTCTCCTCCTCCACCTCCGCCTTTGCCTTCCTCTCCACCGCCACCGCCACCGCCACCCCCCCCTCTCCCCGCCACCGCCACCTCTACCACCCCCACCCTCAACATCTCCATCACCTCCACCTCCACCGCCGCTTCCACCTCCACCTCCACCTCTTCCATCGCAACCACCACCTCCTCTTCCTCCTGTGCCAACCATGGTACTGCAACCACCTGTACCAACTCAACCTTTGTTGCCAGCCAAACCAATACAACCATCTCATTCATCCGTACAGTCCTCCCCTCAGTTGGCATATCAACAATCTGTACCTCATGAATACTGCACTACACCCAATGTATGTATTTTGGTTGTCTAGTTACTTTTGTGAATGTGTTAGTTTGTTTAACCATGACCTGAATTCTCTGTTTGCAGAGTAATCAAATTGTCCAAATGGCTGGCAGTACTCCTCATGGGAATCACATGTTTTTAAATCCTCAAGCTCCTCAACAAAATCCACATTTTCAGCCAGTTAATGCACCTTTTCCACAAAGACCACTGCATCCAAACCTGGCACAAACTTCAACTGGTCATTTCTCATATACAAAGCCTCTAATTCAGCAGCATCCTCAGCATCCTTATCCCCGTCCATACCCTATGCTAACACATCCTGATGGACGGCCACGATTTGCTACTGATGAACAGTGGAGGATGCCTTCAAGCGAATATGCAGATGGTCAGCATGGTGCATGGATGAGTGGTAGAAATCCATCACATGCAGGGCCTTCTTTTGGCCAGGAAGGTACATGCAATCGTGTCCCTGTAATTAGAACACTTATTTTTACCTGAATTTCCTTTTGCTACTTGTGCGCGTACATATGTATTGCTAAGGCCTTGATCTTTCTTCAAAACGAAAAAACTATTTAACCAGTCAGGAAGGTTATCGATTCAAATCTTTTTTGTACAGAACTGTCTGCATGATAAATGTGTGCTACTATCTGGATGGGATTGATATTATTTTTTTATGTTAATTGTGGATGCTGAACCACATTAATGTTAATGACATGACATGGCATTTCAATTTAAAATGTAGTCTGACTGCTTGAAACTTATATCTGTGAGAGGCCAACTGAATGATTGAACTGTTTCTCTCTCGTTGAAATTCATTATTTTATTGTTAAAGTATGATACCTCCTAATGAAATGAACTTGTATCATTATTTACTATTAAAGTTATTGATCTCATGGTTATTTATTCATAGTCATATGGAATGCTATATCAAGTTTGCAGATGCTTAAAAAAAAAAACAAAGAGAAAGAAAGAAAGAACTGGAGACAGGCAGATGCTTGCTTTCCATCATTTCTCATGTGTGCTACTTGTCTATGCTGCTTACCATATTAGTTTTTCCTTTGATGAAACCTTTTTCAGCATGATGCTTGTACAAGTGTTTAAGTTATATTTTTCTAGGATTTGTGGCCTGAACAGAAAACATTGTCAGAACTAAACTTGATTGATTACATATTATTAAATTTTTTAACTCTGTTGGTAAGTTTTGTCCTCGCTTTAATTTTTTTTACAATCAGTGCCTTGCATTGCAAAGATGCAAAATGCTTTTTCTAGTGTCTAGGTTGTGCTTGTTATATGAAGGTAAACTTGTCTGGCATGCTAATGTGCAACCATTGCAACTGAACCTCTGAACTTGTTTATTCTCATTTGGCATGTTTATAAATGGGAGTTTAGGAAAGTTTGTTTTATATCCTGCATTTTCTTTATGATGTGCTTTTTCTGTGATGCACAGGCTAATAGATCATAAAACATTTTCCCTGGCAGGTTACTTTCGGCCACCGCCTCCAAATAATATGGGATTTCAGGTTGCTCCCACCAATAGTTTACCTGCTGGAGCTCCCATTCCAGGTGAATTTGCTTTGTGAAAAATTGTCTCATTTTGCTCACAAGTGACGTTCGTACTATAGGAGTAAATGACCTCAAAAATTACAATTGAACAATCGATTTCTATGATTATATTATTTTAGGTCATGGTGTTTCACAGATGTTGCCATGTAGACCAGACATGCCTTCCCTTAACTGCTGGAGGCCAGCTCAATAACAAGTCTGAGGGCTTCTTGAGTTTTTGAGTAAGTTTATGTTCCTTCTCATTTGTGTTTTTGGCTAAATTTCTAAAATAAGTGTTTCTGGTACTCTTAAAATTACATTCCAATTTTCTTTCAAGAACAGGTCTTCTAAGATTTTAAGCCTTTATCTTTGCCACTTTTTTAGTGTGCTAACTGAACTGAAGTGGCATCACACGTTAGTGAAACATCCCTGTCACTTTTGGTGTGATTATTGAAGGGTTTAAAATTCATGTTTTTCCAATTACTTCTCTTCAAACTGGCAGTCAATTGTTTTTGATTGCCCATTTAGTGCAAATTTCTTGTGCAATGGCACCGCTAGGGAGTACAATATATAATGGATAGCTTAGTGAAGCTTATTACAAGTCAGTCTCTTTCTGATGGTGGATATATCTGTGTTTGTTCACTTTTCCAGCGCTGTGATCCTGAAAGGAGGAAGTACACTTGCATTATAATATGCCGCAAGGAAGGTTCCATTTTGGACTTAAAACTACCACTTGAAGGCAGTGCTTGAACCTTGTGGAGACTCTTGGCAGGGCTGTGTATATTGTAATTTTTCCTGACAAATGTATCCCGGGAACATTTGCTTCCGAGTGTAGGACCATGTTTCTGACTTGGTTAGTACATCTGTTTCTTAACTCTTGTAATTACGTTAGGATATAAAGAGAAATTTTTTAAGCCACAAGTTTGACCAATGGTAAATTTATTGATCCTTTTAATGCGTAACTTTTTTGTCTTGTTTTGCTTCACTATATCTTATTTGTTTTCTGTAAGTTGTTTTTTTTTTTAAAGTACAGTAAATGCATGCACTATCATTTCCTTCTCCCATCCTGGGGGCATGCATGATCTGATCAGAGATCGGGATGCATGACTACATGCCCTTTGGTGCATTGTGTAGCTCATAAAGCCTTTTTTTTTTTAAGTTAATTTTGGTTTATTATTGACACATGGCCTTGTGCTTGGGAGAAGGATAGACTTAAGTAGGACAATTCAGAAGTCTATTTGGTTTCCAAGGCAGCTCAGCGAGGCTTCTTGGGCCAATTCTTGAGGGTGACAAAGGGATTTGATTTGGTTGGGTGGTTAGTGTATATCCTTTTATATTGGAGGAATTGGGACATGGTTGTAAATGAGTGGCTCGGTTATGTATTTTATGAATGAACCTCTAGATTTTTCCTTTCTGTTTTCGTTTTGGTTATATGATGTAAGTAGTTCAACTTACGGTTTAAAAAATTCACATGATGTGGTGGCAGTGGGCAAGTTGCAGGCATCCTCTCTTTCTACCTTCATTTCCTAGGTGAACTTTGGAACCCCTTTTGAATCAGAAGTGTCAGCTCCCTTTTCATTTAAATATACTCAAGTAAAAAGTTGAGTGTTGAATTGTCTAAGTGATTTAGAGGGGAAAAAAATGAATAGCAAAAAGAATCCCAATAGAAGACAGTGAAGGAAGTAAATTGAAATTTGACATGAAACAATTATTTTGGGAGTTTATGGAACAGATTGACAAGGCCAAGTCTAAAAAGAAATTTGTAAAATAATCCAGAAGCATCATATGAAGCCTGAAGTTTTTGTTTTCTTGTTTTAATTATTTGTTTTCTATGTAGCTTAGAAATTTTAATTTAATTAGTATTTTACTATTTAAGAAATCTTAATGCTAGATTGATTCTATTAATTAGGTAAGTTTTAATGAAGAATTCTTTGCTATAAAATATTTTAGAACTAATATAAATATAGATGTCTAGTTTATTTTATAGAAAAAAACTTATTATTCAAATTTAATTCAATAGCAGAGAATTTTCTCTAGATTTCTCTATAGTTAGGAATGTAACCTTATGAGAACTCTAGTTTTATCTTCTATATACGCCGTGTCAAGTGGTATTAGAGCGGGTAAACATTTGGATCAATGGAAAACCGTGAAGAGAATTGTGGAGCATTTGGTGACAACCATCTTCATGATGATGATCAGGGGATGCAGGCTACTTGGGATCAGTTAGATTGCCATTAATTAGGGATAGCAACTTTAGAGGGGCGAATACAAACTGAGTTTGGTGACATCAATGCAAGATTTGATGACCTTACAACCATACTTGAGGTACTAGGGTTGTGCACAAACATGAACTGGGGAAGAAGAGAGGCATGTGCCATGGATGAAGCCCGCGACCAACCTATCCTTGAACTAATTTGTGCAAATCCTCTTGGCCAATATGACTGAGTATTTGTCTGATAAAGAAGATGTATTTAGGCTAATGGGAGGCACATATAGGAATCAAAAGGAGAGGAACGTGCTTGGAGACGTACCTCGGGGCTGACCTTACCTTAAACCTATTTCCAAAATTCCATCTAAACAACCTTTTAGATATGTGAAGGGTTTTGGTGAAGATGAACTTAATGGAAGCCATGAGACCTTGTTAGATGAAGACAAACAACCACAACTCAAAAGACAAAAACTGATCAACATAATTAAATGTTAATACGAGCAAGAATCTTTTGATAACGAGGATGTTTTAGGCGAACTAGATGGAGATGATGAAGGAAATTTATATGATGATGAAGATCTTGCAAACAAGAACATGAAGAATTTCTTACCAGTCTTTTAGAGATATTATGAAAGATTATTTTAGTGTTTCTTTAAATACAATGATTGAAGTATTGGATATAGATGATGATGAACTCAAGCTTTAAAGTAGAAAAATATGGGAAGAAACTACAAATGAACTTCATAGGAACAAAAAATAGAATATCATATATGAATTTTTTCTTATTATACATGCATTATAAGTTAAATTTTGAAGCTCAATGGTCAAAGACATAGTACTTTGTTAATAAGTTAGCTATAATATTATATTCAAAGTATTTGTTCCTTTAGGGTGGAATAGTTTAGTTTTTGACAGAAAACTTGAGGACAAGTTTTTCTCAAGTGAGGGAAACTGGCGTAGAACAATTATCCCAGAAGTTTATGGACCAAATTGACAAGGTCAAGTCTAAAAAGAAATCTGTACAGAAACTTGGAACCATCTGAAATGAAGCTTAAAGTTATTGTTTTCTTGTTTTAATTATTGTCCTAGTTAATTTTAAATTTTAATTATTTTTTTCCTACTTAGCTTATTACTTTTAATTTAATTAATATTTTACTAGTTAGAAATTCTAATACTAGATCGATTCTATTAATTAGGTAAGTGTCAATTAAGAATCATTTCCTATAAAGGATTTTAGAACTAGTATAAATAGAGAAGTTTAGTTTATTTTATGAAAAAAAAAGTCTATTATTCAGATTTAATAAAAATACCATAGAATTTTCTTTAGATTTCTCTATAGTTAGCTCTATACACTGTAAAATTTGATGTATAGATCATAGCATGAAAATTATGGATTTCATATCAACTAACTAACAACTGTCGATATACAAACCTTAGCTGTCAGGTACTTTTTTGTAATTTTAACTCTGGGTCTATCATATTTCTTGTTGCAGCTTTTCTCATCAAATTTTCTCTGTTGCTCAACTTCTCCCCAACTCTCTCAAGAATTGAACTTTTTTTTTGTGTGTGTGTGTGTATGAGAGTGAGAGAGAGAGAGTTGACTGTCAAGGCTTTAGATCAGCTAATCTTGTCAGTTTTAGTTCATCATGGATGAAGGACCTGATGGCTTGATAGTGAATGAAATCGGAAAGGAATACCGACATGGTTTTACTTTGGTTCAAAGATAGCCATTGAATATTGGTCTGAGCTTGCTTGCTTGGTGTTTCATGAACAAAAAGTTTTGTTTTTTGGTTTTGCTTTGTGGATCAACAGATGTTATAGATGATTCTGTCAATGGCACATTTCTCGTCTACTTCCATGCGTTTCTTCCCCTCTAATTCAGACTTCCTATCTTGCACTTCTTTAGGAATATTCCAATGACAGGGAAGCACAAGAACTTGCTGTTTTCTGTTCCTATTTTCAATTCCTTTCACTTCTCCCTCGGACCTAGTATTAGATTCTGGACCTTGGAGGGGTATAGTTTCCTATGGCTGTTTCTTTTCTCATTTTGAGAGGCCCTCACCTTGTACGTGTTTCCTCCTGGTTGAAGCTGAGTTTCCATCTCAGATTCAGGCTTTTGTCTGGAGTAGTTTCCTCAGCAAAATTAACACTAATGATTTAATGCAGATAAGAAGGCTCAACATCTCTTTCTCCTGATATATTTGTTATGGTGGTGGGGAGACTCTGAACCACCTTTTCTTCTGTGTAAGTTCTACGAGATATGCTAGGTAGTCCCTTTGTGGTTTGTGGGAGACTGGGCAGTTTCAGGCTCAATGGATGACATTGCCTTCTGAATTCCTGAAAGGCTTTTCATTGACAGTAAGGTTCTTTGCAATCATGCTATTTGTCTATGGGCTATGGTATATGGAAGGAGTGGAATGCTAATTTTGGAGCTACTCTTGCATGCTTTTGCCTTCAATATGCTCCTGTTCACCAGGCCTTTAAGGCAGTCTCTTGAGCTGATATCCAAGGAGACTGGAAACTCTAATTACAAGCTTCTTCCTCTTCCTAATCATATTTAAGATAAGGCATCCTCGATAATCTATATTCAGCTCTGAAATTTTAGACTTTTATGTTACGTTAGCTGGGAAGTTACTTCCATTGACTAGGCTGAGAGGCTGTATTGATTTTGCTACTCTAGAGCCTGTTGATTTTTTTCCTCAGGAATTCGGGGTTTGAGAAAATGTTGCAGATCTTTCTCATGAATGTTAATCCAATCTTAAACATCTATTCAACAGCATCACTTGCAAGTTGCCATTTATTTTTGAAATTTAATTTCACAAAATCTTGCACCCTCAGAGTTGGATTTTAAGTTGGTGATGTTTCTTATTGAGAACTGGAAGTTAGAAATCATAAGAAAGAACGGGCATTTGCTTCTTGAGGTGGATCATTTTGCTTGTAAATAATCCTTGTATATCTTCACCTGGGATGACATTCTGAAAGCTCCCTTGTCTCTTGTAAATAGATGGCACAGGTTTCTTTTAGCTAAACTGGCAGTGCCAGCATTCTAGACATTATTTTAGGTGGTTTTCTGGCAACCTTGGTAACACATTTCAAAATGATTCACATGGAATAGCAACTGGAGATAAAAGAAGGAAAGAGAGGGTTGATCCTGTGTCTGCTGTGTGTCCTTTTCTTCTTAATTTTGTGTTTGGAATTCTCATACTGCCTCATAGGTTTTGGACCCCCCTGGCTTTCTGCAGTTGATGAAGGGGATGAGTCCACTGAGCATGAGCATGTTTGTGATGTATATTATGCAGTCAGATTTATCATTAAATTTCAAGGGCTGTTCACTGTTAGAATTGAATGATGACTGCAAATTGCAAATTGTACTGTTTCAGGTTTAAGCAAACAATTAAGCTGAATCTGCTCATTCATTACATCTCATTATGGGGAATAAAGTTCAAACTATATGTGGGAGAAAACTTCTGCAAAATTTGAGGTAAATATTTGATGTGGACTCTCAAAACCAAAACGATGCTCGTAATTTTGTATTTTTTAGATAGGAATAGTTTTTCCTCTTGGTATCTTTAAAAAGTAAAGGTGTCCAACAAAATGCTTCAATTTTTTTGAAGAAATACTTATTAGCTTACAAACAGTTAATTCCATATGTGAATATCCTTATGACCCGTCTTACGTGCTGTATCATCATCACAATGTGAACAGTTGCTCATTTTGAGAATTCAATTTACTTTTTGTTGCAACCATTTATTTTAGTGA